CAAGGCTCTGTCCAACCTGGCCTTGAACACCACCAGGGATGGAGCATGCATGTGAGCATATGCTCACACCTTGTTCACACCAAGGCCTGATTAGCTGAGGAGCAGAAATACATCCGTTGCTTATTCTGAACCCATGAATATGAATGGATATATTTCAGAAAGGGATGTCTATAGTACTTGTTGAAGAGACTTGGAAAGGCAGAGATGCCACCTACCAGCTTACAGGAAAAAAATATATATAAAGAATTGGAAGGAACAAACAGTTTATCATCCTCAGCCCTCATGCTTTTGTCAGGAGGGTGCAAAAGAGGAGTTGGGTACAGGGGTAATGCACCTTCGGGGAGAACAGAGGAAAGCAAAACAGCTGCTGGGAACTTTGTGCCATATAGAAAATCACACCACCGACAGTTCCTGTTTTGGGTCAATTATTTAATCAAAGACAAAACCAACACAATTTCTGTTCCCCAAAATATATAGGTTAGTAAAAAGGGCAACTTCAATAACAATGAAGCTACTCTATACTTGTGGTGTTGTAACATCTTTCTAAGGTCTCTATAAAACTTTGGGATTCAGAGTCAGCGTGCTGTCACAATACAAAGAACTGCCTTAACTGCTACTGCTGTATTTTTAAGTCCACAGAAAGAAAAGCTCTAGGGATTTCAAAAGCCCTGGACTCAGTAGAGACTCCACAGTTTAATTTGTGAAGTGAATCAGCTGACAGATTACACTTTCAGTTTTACTTCACAGGCACTAAAGCCGTGTATCTAGTCCTGTGTCTCTTGAATCGGTAGCAACTGAAGAGTTTCAAGCCCTGTAAAAATGCAAAAGGCAGTAAGTAGTTCAGAAAGGAAAGGCTTCACCTAGCATAGAAAAGAAACAAGACCTTGTTGTACATGTTGTGTGTTATGTTGACATAACCCAGTTATTGTCCAGATATCCTTGCTACCCAGGTACTCAGGTAGGGTTGGCATAAGGGCTACCATGTTGAATGAGGGTGTAAGAGTTTGAAACCTTTCTTTTCCCAACAATAGCTCACTGCTGCCATTTTAAAGAAAAGTGGACTCCCTGAGGCATCAAATGTTGCCTGTGTGCATGAAAGTGAGTATCCCCTGGAGCAGCGAGCTGAGCAACGTATCAAGGAATGTCAATTGCTTGATATGCAGAGAAATAACTCCCAGGAATTTTCATCCAAAGTCAGCAGGGTTTAGGCTGTGACTGCAGGGCAAATCAATCTCCATGTTAACACATATTGTGCATATGTTAAGCACGAAAAAATGGCTTCAGGAGCATCAAGTCCGAGACCTGTGACTCTCAAGAACATGAGTTTGAGGGCGATTGAGTATATCCTAATGTAGGGATACAAGCACTCTCTCTTCACTCTTCCAGCACTACTGATCTGATACTTTGCAGCTGGTCTGTCCCATTTTGCTAAGCTAGTAAAGTAAAATTTATTTCCTTCTTAGTCACCTTGAAATGAATTCATGTCAATATAGAGGCAAGAGGACATTCTCTGCATAGGCTCTAAATCTGTGTGTTACGTTTACTGGATTAGTATGTCTGTGGTTTCCAGTTAAGAGAAAAAAAATGAAAAGTTGAGAAATGGGCAGGGCAGATGTGGTCCTTTGCACACAACTGCATAATGAAGAATTGTGTCCTGGGACATGGCTGATCCCACCTAGCAGCTGCTGTAGAGCCAAAATAATTTTGCAACGATTTGTAGCATCAGACATCTTTCAATAAATCAAAAGATCATTTTCTTGCTGAAATCAGTTGTCTTCTTTTGTTGAGGTGTTGGTTGTTCAGTTCTACATTTTTCATAAACAGCTCTGTACTCAACAGAAACATCTTATAAAGCAACTTGCTGGTTGTTGCCCTGTCTTTCAGCTGGTATCTGTGGGCAGAGACTCCCAGAGATGCATCTAATGGAGAGAGAATTACTGCTCTCCCATGTCTCTCCAGCTCTAGCTGGATACTAGTAGACACCCCAAGGACTCCTGATCCTAAAGATTTTCACATGCTCACTTCCAGTGAAGGCACACACAGGGGCACCCAGATCACTTGCTGAGATGGGGGAAATAAATTGATCCAAATCAGTAAAAAAACCCCAAACAAACTAAAAATGAACACCTTCATTTATATATTTTCTTTTCCTTTCTTTTTTTGTGAAATCTCCGGCTCCTTTTTGCTAACCCTCAAGTGAATAGAAAAAGAGTTGAAAGAGTCTAACTCTTCTTTAAAGTATCAGCAAATGGCAAGATTTGCCCAGTATTTGCATTTTAGTCATATCTTTACTCTAGATCTGTTTAAAGGAATTATTCTGTACACTAACCACCTGTAGGCAGGATTGTAAACAATGAGAATTCAGTCCAAAATTCCATAGTATTAGACAATACACAAAATCAGTGCTACAATTTAAAAAATGAAAGAAAAAAATAAAGAGTATAAACCATTTATTTTTGAGCAAATATCCTATAAAACTGTGGCTTGAGTACCATTAAACTTCTAACAAAGTAATAGCAAAGAACCTGGTAAAATATATTCCTGAAAATCTTTCAAGTCCTGCATTGCATTTGAAATTATTTCAAATATAGAAAAAAATCCAAGTCTCACCTATAATGAGCTTATTCAGTTTGCATCTTGTACAACTTTTACAGTTAATAACTGGGTAAGTGTTGATGCATAAAGCTGTAATTCGCCAGTGTTGATCACAATTTATATTAAAATAAATAAGCAAACATACTGAGATGATACAAGCTGAGCATACAGAATTCATGCTAATTACACTTGATCAGAGGGATTCAAGTAAACAGTCACACTATGAAATTTCCAAAAGAAAAGCAGTCTAGAAGCAATGCTCTCACCACCTTCTCAGAGCAATTTTCTCCTGATATTAGCAGTACTCCTATAAACCCATTGGCTGAAGTTATAAAATCAGATACTTAAAGGTAAATTATAAAACTAATACATTAAAAAAAAGGTTCTTCATCATCTAAAATGTAATAAGCTGGACCTTCAGCTTTCAGATGTGTCACCAAATCAGGGATTCTCTACACTTAAATCTTCAAAAATTAAGCACTAGGTTCATTATTTGTTCCTTGCCTGTTCAATGCAGATTCAGCTTAACCAAGATACTGATTTTAGAAGGATCCACCTTTCCCACCCAAAATGCCTGCTTTTTTTCAGCTCATGATGACAGATGTCTATTTTTCTTTCCCAGTAAGAGGGAAGGAATATTGTAGGCCATCTTAAACAAACCAGCCAGTGAAAAAATCATCAAACCATCATACTGGATGCCTATAGCCAGCAGACATGTCCAGCTGAGGATCTGAGTTGTAATTTATGTCAAATATGAGCATCCAGGTAGCATTTGATCCATCCTCTTTGACTTCTCATATGTGAAAGGAAGGCTTGCACAGCATACATCAGCACACTCGTAAACATCAAAATAAGCTTGTGTGTTTGAAGGCTTCAGGTCTTTTCATTTAGGAATTGAGGAATCCATATAACTCATTGCTGCCGTTAATGACGTCATCACAGTTTTCACACACCAAGCCCACTCTTGCAGGAGTCTCCAATGCAAAGTGAAAAAGGAAAGGATTTCCAAAACCATCAAAGGGCATGTTCTGCCCCCCTAACATAGAAATGACTTGGCAGTACCCCCTCAGGGGCGGTGGTGGGTGCGCTGCTGCTCCCAGGTGGTGCAGATGCACCATGGTTCAGAGGTGGAGAGGGGACAGGGAGGTGGGCAGGAGAGTCAAAGCTTCAACATCCTCGCTTCCGCGTGTATCAGGCAGATGATATCCCCAGGGGAGCACCCAGGAGAACACATAGTGGTTGTAAGTGCACTTTGGTTTGTGGCAGCAGGACATGTTTCTGGGAGGGAAAGAAAAACACTATTGTTAAAGTTTAGCTGGAGGGATTATTTGTTCTTGTGACCTCAGTGGAATAAGAACCACGTCATGTTTGTTTGAGAGACATACACCAAGCCAACAGCTCAGCAACCATGTGGGGGGGGCAGAAATTATCCATTATCTTTTTAATAGACTTTAATTCAGTATTTTAATTGTTTGTTTTATGACCACACATTAGAGGTGTTACTATTACCACTCCCATGGAAATTGCTATGAATGAGGTAGCGTATCTCCAAGAAAAAAAACTATCTATTTTCTTGGGTGGTGTTTATCTGACACATGCTGAGAAATGCTTAGGAAGTATCACTATTTTTCCAGGCAGAAAGGGCGAGAACTTATAGCTTGTGTCCTTGAAAAACAATATGCTACAAGGAGAAAATGTGTAGTTCTGAAGTGTGTCTCCCTTGTTTCTCAAAGCACCAGGAATAAGTGATTATAATGGATTATTAAAAACTTCCCCTTTGCTATGATTGCACTGTAGGGAGCTGCCATCAGCAGTGACCTACTTGCTGTCATGGCAGAAACGCATGTTTCAGATGCTGGCCTAAATGCAGATGATTGTTGGTTGGTGTTCATCTATCTGCAGTGTAATACACTTAGAAAATAAAAAACATCTGCCAGAGGACCTTGCTTGCTTTGCAAGTAGATTCAGTTGGGCTCCCTTTCCTTACCTGTACAGTGGTGTGGGTACAGCCCCTACAGATGGCAAGCACATGAGCACTATCCTTAGTATCTTTAATATATACATGAAGTGCTGCACTGAGCTGTGTTTTCTTCGTAAAGGGCTGTCAACCACGAGCCCTCTGAAACTGTGCCAGAGAATCAAGAGATCTATTTTTAAATGCTATGCTCATTTTCTACGCTTTCTAGGGGGCTCTCAAGTCACATTTCCAAGCTTCACCATGCAATCATGGAGAATTCTTCCTTTCCAAAATCACAGATTTGCTAGGGGTGGCAGCAGCATGTTCTGAGCAAGTTGGTCAGTCTCATGCTGCTTGGACCTTTCATGGCTTTCCTGTAGACCAGCAATTGTCACAAATTAACATTGCAGGCATTGGCAACACTACTGATGGAAAAGGAGTCTTTCCTCAACAAACCTTGCTGTGTTATTAAAGGCACCAATTCAAACATATAAGGCTTAAACATGGAGAAGGAAATGTTTCAGCTCTTCTGGGAGGAGAAGTCCAGTTATTTTTTGATGTTGCTTGTGTCCGAAGCACCTCCTGATGCAAAGGCGGCACAACTGCATCAAGGACAGTGGCCCTGGAGAAAGAGACAGGAAAAAAGTTACACATGTGGGTTTATCACCCCAAAATTGTTAACCTGAACCAGCAGCTGTGCACCACTGCTCCTCCCACCTCCTGCAACCTACCTCGCGCCAAGGGTGCATGGGCCCCAGAATGCTCAACAAGGAAAGACCAGACCTGCACCCACCAAAGGACATCAGCCCACATGCAGTGCACTTCAAGCCTAGCCACTCTCTGTCGTTACACAGCCACAATTAGCATTAGCAGTGTCAATCGTTCTCTTTTAAGCTGCATGAGTGGGAAACAGAATTGTGTTTTCTAAGAAGAGATGATCGATGTTTCCTTGAAAGTCCTTTCCCCCCTCACTTCCCCAGTGGGATCCAAGTTTGCAGCCCACTGCTTGCTTGAGACTTACTTTATAATCATGACAAACACATAGCAAAAGAAATACTGTATAATCCTTTATTTAAACCTTCCAGATTAACCAGTCCCATGCTGACAAATACAAGCCCTGCTGAAGAATCTGGGGTGCTTTTTTCAAAAAAATCTAAGTATAATGGCATTATATGATTCTTTGGCTCACTTATCCTTTTCAGGAAGATGTAGATCTTGCATGATGTTTTCACTGCAGCACCTGTCAAGGCTCAGCCCCCCCAGCATGTCATTTATGCCACAAAAAGGAGCGTGCAGGAGTGACAAGCATTGACAGTCACAGAGGGGCTACAAGGAGGGCAGATAAGAAGGGTGCAGAGAGGCAGCAGCAGTGAGCATGGACAAGGGGTGGGGTGCTCGGAGGGGGAGAAGATAAGAAGAGGCAACATAGAAGGCAAAAGGGAGGTAAGTGAGCTGGGAGAGGACAATTTAGATACCACCTGCCATGCCTGCCTGCTGGGCAGCTAAGATAGTGGTGGCCAGAGAGCTTAAGTGTTAGTGCTAGTGGAGGAGTACAATGCACTGGGAAAGAACAGGGACTGCAGCAAAAATGTAGTGAGGTGACAGCTTTAATCACCTTTTGAGACTTCCCTCATGCAGGTTACCACATTTCCAGCAGATCTACAAGGCTGAAAACTGCTGTACTGGAAGGGCTATGTGAAGAGCTGCACCCTTCTGCTAGGAAGTCAGCAGATGAGTTAGTTACCCTAAGCTTGGGTACAAAACAAGGCAAGCCAATATGGGACAAGTTAAACTGGCTACTGTAGTGTCACACTGTGTGTGTATTTGGCCATTTTGATCCCACGGATAAATGCCCTGCCTGTAAACATCTCATTTTAAAAAGCTTCAATTAAAAATAAAAATGATATCCAAACCTAAAGACTTATCAAAACACGAGCAGTGACACTAAGAACACTTAGCAAGCACAAGCATACTCCTCAAAAACACAGTGCATTTTTTGGTCATTAGCTAATTCTCCCACCCACAAGTAGGACTTTCCCTGCAATGCATTCAGGGTTTGTGGTGGTCTGGCAGGATGATGAAGTATTGGGAAGGGAGATCACCACATGTACTACACCTGTTCTCGGCTAGTCCTAGGGTGACTAGGTGAGCACACTCACCGCCTCATCTCTGGGGGGAAAACATACCGCAGATGCTGCCTCCAGCATCTGTGGCATGGTGGGAGAGGAGCCGTGTGTGGGACACAGGCAGGACAGCAGCAACTCATTTGTGCCGGTGCTGAGGGGCTGTGGGTCTGGCAGCGTGACTCTGATCCCCACAGCACATCTCCAAATCTCTGTGTGAAACCAGAGGGGTAATGTTAGAGCACCAGCATGGGTTGCAACTAACTGTTCAGCTGGCGAAAGAAGTCGGACATAGCTGTCCATCATGCATGACCCTACTCAGAGAAGGGCATGTTGGAGAACACCAGAAAAACACTACTCAGCAGCAAAACGCCTTTCAGACATTTATAGTTTCTGATGTCGATTGACGAAACTCACTTAGAAAAGTTCCTTACTGCCCTAGCTGTCAGCTCAGCCTGAGCAGCGATTCTCAGGCCAGCTCAGTAGGGTGTGCCTGAAATAGTTTTCTGTCTCAAATAAACAGGACACACATGGTGCCACAGGAGTCAGGAGTCTAATGAAGCAGGGATTGGAGCTGAAAAGAACACCGCTGTGCACCATAGATTAGGTTGGGAAACCAAATACAAGTTGCTCATACATAACATGCACAGCACAGGTTTTTTTATGCTCTTATGTTCCTATTATTATTTCAAACAGGGCCTGGCTCATCACTGTTATTCCAGTTTTATCTTGGTGTAAATCTTTTTATGACAACAAATCACATCAACATCTAACTGGCATAATAGTCATGAACCACACCATCAGCAGCTTGTTTAATGAAAGTACAGATTATTTAGTAATGTGTATATCTTACTAATTGGTCGAGAATATCTAATGAAGAACACAAGTACACCAATGAGTAGACACTAGAGATCTTATTCTAGTTTTCCTCAAGAGTGGTAAGTACAATTTCTCTCCATAATTCATTATAATATTCATAGTCTATAAAATAAAATTACCTGGAACTATTTCGTTTACAGGTACAAAACAAGCACTTCCTAAACATTAAGCTCACAGTTTGATACTGTTGGATTATTCAGCATATAATGCTGGCCTTTAAAAACAGACTAGTGTATAAATGTATATACATATATAAATATATACATTCATTATATCATTCCTGTGCAATTTTCCTTAATCCTCACAAAAAACCCCTAATATAGAGTCTTTCATTTTAAAGATACTTTTGCACGTACATAAGAACTTGACCAAACAATAAAAGTAACAGGCAAAGAACTAGAAGATCAGTCTTTCAATGCACTTTTTTTTTCCTCCTCAATATTACATGCTGTTAGGTCAGTATCAGTATCACAATTGTTGCTGCCCCTTCCTTGGCAGTGTTCAAGGACAGGTTTGATGGGGCTTTGTGCAACCTGGTCTAGTGGATGGTGTCCCTGCCCATGGCAGGGGGTGGGAACTAGATGATCTTTAAAGTCCCTTCCAAACTATTCTATGATTCTATGCATTGAATATTTTCTGTTTGCGATTCTGCGTTTATTTGGAGATAAGTATCTGGCACACACCTGATTGTCAGCATAGTGTATAACCAAAGATCCCACTCCTAGCACTCACTAGCTAGTCTCAACTGCCAACAGATGATTTGCTGCCTGTGTTTGCCAGCACGCTCCAGAAAATCTCCTGCGTCTACTCCTGCCTCAGACACAAGGGAACTGAGAGATTCCAGCTGACTTCAGTGCTTTAGGTAGTAAGAAAAGGCTACCATTAATATCTAAGAAGTATTTTGTTTGGTTTTTCACCCTAAACTCTATTTTACATTATATTAAAAGCTCCATATGATTGCTCCCCAATGCAGTAGATTCATAACCTGGAGGTCAAAAGATGGGTTATTGTTGTTATCACTGTTAGCGCTCCACTATACTCTGACACTAGAAAACGCAGTGTCCATATGTTAGTGAATGGAGACAAGCTTAGTAATTCTCAGTTTTATAGTGTGAGTAGCATGGAATAGCATGGCCTTTTGCAGCAGTTTGTCTGTTTTTTCCTTAACAAATGCTGAGTGAAAGAATAAAACAAGTGCTGAGGGGCACCTTCTTTCTGCAGGAACAGTCTTCCCACAGGACTGCCAGGTGGTACCAGCTCCATTGGCCTCTTGCTTTCTGCATTCTTCACCCAAATGTCTGCTCCAAAGTCAATCAGCAGTGTTACCAGCTCCACACTGCAATTCCTGGCGGCTGCATGCAGAGGGGAGTCCAGGCCCTTGCCGCTGTTCACGTTTGCTCCTGAACACCAAGACATGACAAAGAATAATAGCTATACAGTAGCCATTTTCCATTTCCCACACTAGCTGCTATTTCTCTGAATAATCCATAAATGCTGTAGCATCCATCAGAGGTGAATTTCCTTACACTATGGCTTGGTACTGTAGTTTGCACATGAACAACTCGCACTGGTTGAGGAGTGGGGTTGTGACTAGGAATATGATCCCAGAGGAACTGTGCATGAAGTCCTTCATGCAGAGCTCAGCCCATGAATATCTTGAAGCAGGACAAAGATACAGTTCCAACTATAGCACACTTTTGCTCCCCATCCTAGTGTCCCATTCCGTTAAAATACATGCAGTGTTTCAACCTGCTCTGCACTGGAGGCTTAAGTGGGTGAGGCTTCCAAATGCCAAAGTATCTGTTGGGGAAACAATGTGAGGATGGAAAAGTTCTAGAGGCATAGTAGACAGGTAGAGGAGGAGAGAAACAAACACCTCTCATGAGTGTTCCCCAATCTGTTATCCTGGGCTAATGACTCCTAAAACACCCTAAGAAGGGTGAGCTGCAGAAGTAATTCTAAACTATCTATAATGTTTTTATAGTACACACCCTTACATAGGAGACTGAGGGAAAAAAAAAATTCCAAAACCAAAATAGCACAAACCAGGTAAAATATTTTCAGAAATACTGTGTCAAAATGACTGAGTCAGTTGAATTGGGTAAAGAGGGAGGAAAAGAAAAAAGGGAAACTTTTTCCTGTCCATGTCAAATAACTGTGCCATCACACACACAGACACTGGAAAGGATTGTGTTTGTTCCAGGCACCACTGGCCATGTAAAATCCAGGACCATCCATCGTTTCAATGGGAACTATAAAGCTGAGTTCCTGTGTCAAGATGACTCTGGTTACCCTGCTACCCCATTTAACTCAGGGCTGCCATTAAGAGCTAAACATCTTCAGGTCTCAGAGCAGGAGTTTCTCTAAATCTTTGATGCATAGAAAACCCAAAGATAGCTGTTTGTAGCAAAAAAAAAAAAAGTACATCATCTTCTATTTTAATTTTTACCTGACTCAAGCAGCTTCTTGGCACAGTTCACTTGCTGGTTCTCACAAGCTACATAAAGTGGAGTACCCAGGTGTTTGATGTTGTGGTCTATATTTACCCCACAGGATGCGAGGAATTCAACACATTGCACATGACCTTAAAAGGGATAAAGGAAAAGTCAAATTCCCTATTGCAGTGGTGTAATTTGGAAATGATTCAATGTTTTGTTTTGTCAAGAGATGGTAGTTTAATACTTTCATCCACTCCAGTGTTTCCAACCTGGAAAACAAGAGCTGTAAAGCCACTGTTAACAAAAACAGGCTAAATCCCTCACATTTTATTTGATTCATATCAGATGTATACCAAAGATGACATGAATCACACTGTGCTTTTTGTGCTTTTTTTTTTTTTTGTGAGACGAATCACGCTGTCTTTTTTACAGACAACTCCCTCAGATGTCCCCATCACAGGTGACTGACTTGGACAACGCATTAGATCTAAGCAAGAAATTCTTTACTGTGAGGGTGGTAAGACACTGGCACAGGTTCCCCAGAGAAACTGTGGCTGCCCCATTCCGGGGAGTGTTCCAGGACAGGTTGGACGGGGGTTTGAGCAAACTCGGCTTGTGTGAGACGTCCCTGCCCATCACAGGGGGTTGGAACCAAATGATCCTTAAGGTCTCTTCCAACCCGAACCATTCTCTGATCCCCTTCTGGGTGTCACCACATGAACTCAGAGTAGCCCCAGGAGCCAAGCTAAGCTGCCTGTGGTAAGCACCAGGTCTTATAACTTGTGATAAGACCAACTAGGAAGGTATTTCACATGACCAAAGCCAAGAAAGTTATCTCTCTCTTCCACTTCAGCACACTGCTAGCAACATGGAAAGGAGTGGTGATGCCCTTGGGATTACCTCTCTTAGCAGCTTCATGGATGGGTGATGCTAAGTCACAGGGCGGGTGTAGGCTGGCTCCATGCTGCAGCAATAAATTCAAGCAAGCCACACTGCCACTGACACAAGCACTGAACAATGGAGTGTGCCAGTCCACAGTAACTCCATTCACCTGGGGGAAAATAGCACAGTCAGGCTGCTTTTTTTTTTCCTAATCAATATGTCATCAAAATTGATGAAAATTATCCAGTTTCTCAACAGAAAGCAGGGTTCTCAATTTTTATTTAATATCTTGCAAAAAAACCCCAAACCTTGCCTACTGCTTCTGAAGATTACAACTTTTTATTAAAAAGATTATTAAAAAAAAATCTTTGTAAAAATTGGCCCCAGGTCTCTTCTCCTGCAAAACAATGTTTTACTCTCAGGAGTTATCAAGTTAAATGTGTGCCCATTTCTGTAATCTCGGCTGAAACACACCTGCCTGTAGCCCTCTCCTGAAACAGTGCATTTTTAGCTGAAAATAAAACTTTTTTCTTTTCTTTTTTTAAACTGAAAGGTAATATATAAACAATGAGTTAATTTTCTTATTCACTATAATTCCAACATTAGCTTGAAAAGTGGAGGTCATAAAACACACCTATTTCACCATTTTACTTGCATTTGACTTCCCATTTTATCATCAGTTTATCCTAACAGTCCTACACCTCTACTTGAGACTCTGCATATTGACACTAACAAGATTAGTGTGTGCACAAAATAAAGCACATCCTTAACTGTTGCAGGATTAGAAACTCTTTGCAAGAGGAACTTCCCATTATTCTTTCAGTAAGGATAAGTACGCTGCAACTTCATCTAAAGACCAGCAGTAATTAATTTATATCTGTGCTTTCTGGATTACTTTATTAAAAAGGGTATTTTATAACATGTACCTTAAACACAGCTAAGCACAGAGTGTAAATCACAGTGATATGCTGACATGAAATAGAACATCACCTAGCATTAAAATACGATCATAAAATATATTAACACTAGGGATAATGGTCTGTCTATCATGTACTCACCTGAGCACCATGTTTTAATAGGACTCTGGCACAAGCAGCATGACCCCCTAGACAAGCTTCATGGAGAGGAGACACCTGAGCTGCTGTAACAAGATTCACATCGCACCCCTGATGAAATAATGGAAAATGCCATTACAACCAACTACCAAAACCACCCTACAGACAACAAAAAAAAAACCCTTTTAGGCTTAAAGCTTTATGTAATCAGACCTTTCTCGACTGCCTGGAGTTACTCATCTCAATAAGTAAGTAGAGAAAGAGGCTACAATGCTTTGGCTGGAGTGGATACCAGCACAGAATAACAGAGGTCATGTCTTTTACACACTGCCAATCAGTGCGAAAAGCTGTAGGCAGTGGACTGTCCAATGGGACAATATAGACGTCCTTTTAGGAACTCAGAATGATTTTATTTCTACCACACCATGAATAACAAAACCTGAAATAACAAAACAAGATGAAAAATTGATACTAGAGTTCTTGGCAGGGTCATGACTGACACGTTTTTACATCACTGCTCAAGCCTTCTGACCTCCTGCCTGCCGATGCTGTGGTCGTTTGACTAGATTGAATCCTGAAATGCTTTTGAGGTATTTTCTGCTCCTTGCAGCAAGTCACACTGAGGGAAAGCCAGCCCCTGCATTAGAAACCATTGGTTCAATTCTACAGGAATTTTTGTTTCTAGCATGCTTCATGGTCCAGAAGGCTAGGCTGGAAGAAGTTCCAATATCCTTCCCTTCCCATCAACTCCTCCACAGGCTAAATCAAAGAATTTCAAAGAAATGGAGCAGCGGGGTTCAGGAATTGCTTCTCCCTAGCCCTGCCCATCTGTAGCAGGAGCAGGGGCCCTGGTACCCTCAGGCACTTCAGAAACAACGTGTATGAGGCTGAATTGAAGTTGCCTAGGTCTGGAGCTGCTCCTCAGCCAGGGCACCAAACACTGTTTGTAGGTGCAGGAGCTGCTGAAGGAATCCCCCAGCTGCCAAGAGACCCCAGCAACCAGGGCCCCATTACCTGCACCAGAATTAAACTATGACCCAGCCTATTTCAATACACCATCAGCTTGGTGCACAGAGCTTGCACTAGGCAAGGAACTGCTTGTAGAAAAAGCATATCTGTTACACATAGACTTCACTGAATTGTGGTCAACATGATTTTCTCACCCTGGAGGTTTCACAGTAAAGTACAGGCTGCATTCAACTGCTGAACAAACCCAGCAGAGATCAAATAAACCCAGTGAAAGGGTACCTGTTGGATGAGTTTCATCAGAGTAAGTAGGCGTCCATGGATAGAAGCATCGTGTAAAGGAGACCAGTCTGAAACAAAGTCTGTATAAAAAGAAAGACAGGAAAAAGATTAACAACTGCATGGACTGTCACATCAGCATACTTTACTTCAAATGCATGACCCCAGCAAACCTCTCTTCTACTTTATTACTTGAGCTGCCAAGTTTTCCTTGGAGCAGCTATTGGGAGGGAGTGAGACAAGAGGACAGTTTCTCTCTGAGTGCGTTTCTAACTCATCCTGTGTTGATGCTGAGAAGCTGTGCTCTCCTTCAGAAGACAAGAGAGGGACTTGCAGAAAACTGCATTGCTTGTCCCTCACTTTGAATTATTTCCAGTGCCTTTGTACTCACAAGCTCATTACACTTTACCAATTAGCTCAAAAGGACTACATTTTGAAAAGGATACGGCTACTCATCCATTTACCTCTGCTCATAGCTGGGCTGGAGTGAACAATACCTAACAAGGAAGGTACCAAAGTACAAGGAGATAAATTGTGTTAGCTGTAGATTTTGCCTTGCAGTTTTCAGTGTTTGGCACTAGCCTGTACAGTGGTGCATTTTAAGTAATAGCTGTATTCTCTGCGTTGTTGAAACCACAAAGTGAGGTACAGCATGTATATACCAAAGAAATACTAATAGAAGGGGATCTTCAGTGAAATCTGGAGAGGAACTTTTTACAAAGGCATGTAGTGACAGGACAACAGGGAATGAATTTAAGCTGAAAGAGGATACATTAAAAAAATTCTCACTGTAAGGGTGGTGAGACACAGTAACCCAGAGTGACACAGTGTGCTGAAACAGGGTGATAACCAACTGTGTCAGCCATTTGCCAGCCTCTTGTGTTATTGCTCTCTCATCTTCAAGCATACTCGGTAAAGGACATCAACTTTAAACAAGATAAGATCTATTATAACAAGACCTAGAATTATTTTGTGGTTGGAAAATTCTGCGCTATGTAAATTATGACCTGAGGATGGTGGTGTCTGAAATGTGGTTTTTATCACACACAGAATATCTTTGCCTGCATAACTATGTTAAGTAGAGGGATGATTTTCTGCCAGCATAGTGGCTGCAAAAAGTCTGCTATAGATTTATAATTATTCTTGCAAGACTCTTTTATGACTGTGCAATATAATTGTCAAGAGTTGTTCATACAGGTAAAAGGATTATTTCTGCTACTACAGTACACCATTTTTGAGTTACTTGATGTAGTGCACTTTTGCAAACATGTACATATTGCATCTTGCCATCTCTGAACAATGGCTCATTGATGGACTAAACTAGGCTTTTGATTTTTCCCATTTAGAAACTAATGCCATTGCCCAATCTGCATGAGTTGTAAGGGAAGCATGTTTATAGTAATTCTAAAAATCTAGACTGAAGAACAAGTTTTCTGAGCTGCAGCTTGATCTTTGTTTGGCCATACAAATATAGGTGGGGTTTTATGCAATCTACCAAGTTGTTATACCATCGTGTCAGCATTCTTGTGACAAAAAGGGAGGTGCACAGTCATGCCATCACATCCACGTGCAGAATTTTTCCATTCAGTGCTTGCTTGAGAAAAGACAGGTTTCTACCGAAACTCTAAAAAGAGCCAGACCAGAGTCATCTATGGACTGGCCACAAGCTTGCAATTTTGCCAAGTTTTAACGATTTAGAAGACTGACCACATAAGCATCAAAAATAAATGTCAGTGGAAAATAAAAAGAGGTATGTACCAACACTCAGTAATACAGCTGGGAATTCTGTACTGAAAGGAACTTTCATCCTAAATGGAAGTGGAGGGCTATGGTAGCTTCATACCAGCCTTGGATACATTGGGAAGAGGGGCTTTAAAGGCCTCTCCGATGACTAATTGCCATGGCATACTTCCAAATCTGCTGCTGTGAACAGCATAGCCCCAAGCTGCCATATCTCCTGCCCTAGCTCCATCTGCAGCAAACACCTCCACCCTGAAGCAACACCAGGAGGCAACCTCCCTGCAGGGGAAGGAAAACTTCCTCAGTTCCTGCACCCAAGGCATCACCCTTCGGGAAACCACAAAGTTTCTATTTTCTGCCTGCTCCAGGCTGGAACTGTTGTTTCTTGGCTGGAGGAGGAGGAAGGCTGCAGTAGATGGTGGGGTCTCACTCCCTTCTTCTGCACAACACAGGAAGCAAGCTGTTAGTAATCTAAATGATCTGTATTTATACCGTACACAGGCTTTTGATTAAAGCCTATGAAAATGCCAGTGCTAACCAGCCATGGACTTTAAAAATCCTGAAATAGTGACGTTTTGGAAAGTCCTCAAAAAAATTTGCCCACCAGTGCTGCCTAAGAAGTAGAAAGGCCAGTGTATGTGGGTGGCACAGCTGTGTATCACCACAGGAACAAGAATTTCTCATTGCCAAAATCATGTACAACTGTTCTTTCACAGAGGAATGAGACCACTTATCCAGATTTTAAATTCACCCACACATTCGTCCACAGGCAAGTTGAGTCAGGCCTCAGTAGCTTCAGCATCTAGACATCCAAAGCCCACTGGTTTCAGTGGCATTGGGTCACCTTAGTTCCCCTTTCACTACTGGAAATCCCAGCAAGTCCATTAAACCTCTGGTTTAATTGCACTGCCATCACTCGTGCATTGAAATCTGGCAGGGCTGCGTGTACAGAGGGAGCCTTGTAGCAATAACCACATAAACATGCGAACCCTGACCTCTCTGTGTGGACAACAGAGCACTCATTTTTGTGACTATGGTTGAAAGTATCTTCTTCCAGCCTCTATCCATGTGGAGGGTGTTGCACACTTCATGCCTGGCCCCAGGCTAGTTTCCTTCCATAGTGGTCATGCACAGTGGAGCTTACAAGGGGCTTTGAAATCCTTTTGGCAGAGGTGTGCTCTTGCATACATATTTGCATATACATATGCCTATGGCATTATATATAATAGTATTACAAATGGTATTTTTCATATTCTAAGGCTTTCTCTAAAGTTTATGATAGATGTAGCCTGAACCAAATACAGTCCTGCTCCTGCTGTGAGTTGCTAGCAGAGCTTACTGACTCTGCTAAGGAACAGGTAGGCACAAGAGGAATGGAATGAACTCTGATTTTCAAAGGACCAAATGATCTGTGTAGAACAGTGTGGTGTGTGGACTCCCTTCCTTCCAGCCTCCATTTTGCTGGAGCTCATCTCCACTGTGGACGTGGTTCAATTCATACTGTTAATAACCTTGCTCCCACTCCAGCCTCAGGATGTACGTACATGACACACACGAGGAGAAGCAGACTACACAGCAGATATACTGGTCATCTTTGCATTGTGGTTTTAGGGTCTTAATTTTCTATGAGGTATGAGTGGAAGCATCCTGAACAGCCCAGGAAAGGAGTGAGTATAAAGTCACATTATCTTAATTTACTTTATTCCTTCTGCACTCAATGAGCTGAAGGAGCAGCTTCTCAGATAACAGAACTACAGGGAACACATCCAGCTAAACTGTTATGTGAATTTGAATTACTTGTCCTTTGTCACCATGTAATATTTTCAATGTCTCTGGGCCAGACAACAGAGCAATGATTGAAGTGAGGCCATTTGTCTAAATAACTCTTCACTGGTGACCACAACAGCATTGGTCACAACTGACCACAATGCCCTGGCCATTGCAGAATAACCCACTAGGGCACGTGGCTCAGCCTGGGGAACAACACTTGGGTCTGCTCACCTGAAAGAAAACAAGAAAAGGAAAAGGATAAAGGATAAAGGGAAAGTAAAAGAAAAAGACAATAGAAAAACAGAAAAAAGCATAAAAAACCCCCAAACTAAACAAACCAAAAAAAAAAGTAAAAGGAAGACAAAGGGATAGGGAAAAGGAAAAGGAAAGGGAAAAAAAAAAAGGAAGGAAAAAAAAAAGAGATTAAAGGGGAAAAGAAAAAAAAGAAAAAGTAAAATGAAAAAGAAAAAAATAAAAGGAGAAAGGAAAGGAAGGAGGAAGGGAATGAAAAGAAAGAAAAAAAAAAAAAAGAGGAACTGAGCCAGTGTTGAGCTGCCACATTGCAACTTCTTTTTCAGCGTGCTGTGGTTTGAGTGCTCCATTCGTTTCCACTTGCACAAACTGTGGTACAGAATCAGACACTTTTTTTCTGTGATACACTAAAACCAGCTAAACATTCAGTATCGAATAGGAATAGCTCATTAAAATCCCATCTAAGTAAGGGGGCATGGGGACACTGACTGTGGACCTGCCCTAGAAACAGAACATCAGGAGCAGCACACCACCGTAGCCTGACCCAGCCCTTTGCTGCCACTGTCAGAGGTGAAGTCTTGTGGCAAGGCAGGAGCACTACTTACCCCCCATGAGTGGGTTTGGTAGAGACATTGCAGACGCCTGGCTTCTGGCTTCTTGCAGTTTGCTGCCGTTTTGATTTGTTACCTCATCGTCCATCTCAGCCCCGTGTGTTCAATTTCTTTTTTTTTCACTTCGCGGTCGGTCTCGAGAGTTCAAATTCCATCGGCCCCGGCAAGCCGCCAGTGGTGGGAGTGATCTATTAAGCAGACTTTCCATGCAGGAGTCAAACAGACCTTGCAACAGACCAGTACGTGGTGCCGGCAGCACTTTGTGCAGAAACTCGAGTACCTGGGTTGGGATTTAATGAAGCAGCTCCCTGGCTGCCCTGGTAGGCAGCCAGCGATCCAGCGAAGCGAGAGATGTGCCTGATGTCACATCCTCTCCAATGCAGCACCCAATCGGGGCGCCCGCCGTCCGTTTTTATCAGGAAGGAAATTCTTAGTTTGCCAAAAAAACAAGACAGAAAGAGCCAGTTCAACTAGTTAAGCAAACTTTGCCTGCAGGGGATCTGCAAAGAAAACCCGCAGAGATACGAGCGCGCGCTGATCTGCACCACTCCCAAGCAAGATGTTAGCAGGCAACTTTTCTGCACGCCTCCCTGGACACTGTACACTGTGCAAAACCACCCTTCTTATCTGCCAAGCCCTGATGGTATGCAAGAAACAGAGAGACGAATGCCTGCTTTACAGCAGTGATCACTGCATACCCTACAGATATTGAAACCACATGTCTGGGGAGCTGCGCTTCCCACTGGAGGCCCTGTGCTGTCTGCATGGCATGGAAATCACAGCACTGCACAGGCTTATTTCCTTCCCTCCCAGTTCAATCGATTTCACTGAGTCACAGTCACATCAGGAGTTTTGTATCTAAGCAGTGCCCTTTTATTTTCAAGAAATTTCTCTGTCTAAAATAACCATCATGAACCTATCAGTGAACAAATGGCAACGTTTTGTCAGGAGGGCTTCCGCTTCATTTCTCTGGGTCTGTTCACAAAAATTCTGTTCTCACGGATCATCTCCATTTGCACCTTTTTCTTTCCCACATTAGTATAATTTACTAGCGCAAAATCCTTTTTCTGTCCCTGAATATTTGTCCATTTTTGTGTAAGTGCAGAACTTCCATGCATAAGTCTAAACCATGTTAATAAAAATTAAGTTATTGTGGGACTTTTTTCTGCCTACCACAGCAGAATTTGCGTTTGTGTATTTGGGGTACAAAGTTGTTAATCCTGGGCTAATCCTGATCCTACTTCAGCTGAGCCTAAGCAACTTGGTTTAATTTTTATTCCTATCTATATCACATGCAGGAGATCTGAGATTCCCCCTTCTGAACGCCTCCTGGCTCCTGGGTTTGGCTTCATATACTGGATGCAAGCTGACACTTTGGTCTGACTGGAAATTACATCTGTGCCTTAGTCATCGAAATTTCTGCATTAAAAGAGTTGTGGGACAAATGTGTAAATTAAAAAAGTGGTATAAATATTGGTTTTGATGGTTGATGTGTGAAATGAGGTTCAGAAAAACAATTTTCCCCTTTACTATTGCTTGAGTTTAATGGCTAGGTTGCCACATCTTTTGTGTGATCATATCTTTAGCAGTATTTACAAACATGCAGCAATTCCACCACTGAAAGGAATCAGCATATGCATCTAAATATGCAATAATAAGGTTTATAAGTGAAGAAGTATTAGCTAAGAGCTTTGAACTCAAGTACAGTAAGAGGGAGGAATAAGACAGAAATTCCTTACTTCCTGGTCATCCACAGACAGGGAGATCTTGGCTATTTTGTTCTTTGACTAAGACACCTACTTGACTGTTAGGGTAATTGAATAGTTTATTCTTGGTTGCACATATTTTGGTCATGTTGTGTACATAAACCTTTGCCTTGACAGATGAGCTGTAGCCATGTCTTCCTGGAGCCTGGTAAGGGTATACAGAGCACCTAATGGTGCTGGTGAGCCTGCAGCCCTCTCCATAGGGGCAAATATCCTTGCCCTCCATCACCCCTTCTGAAAGGGGGCCTCCAAGATCCCCTCAGCAGGGTGGTAGCCCACAGGCATGTTTATCCTGGACTGTTGGTGTCCTGGTCCACATGTGTTTGTATCTCAGGGTGTACATAGACACAAGGTTCACAAAAGGAGTTTCTGATTTGATCACACTTGTCTTCTGCAGCATCAGAGCGGCAGAGATGGGCTTGAAGCCACAACAAGCACAGGATCCAGTTGCCACATCCATTCCTTGGAATTGTGGCTCCTTTCAGGGCTACAGAACCACACTCTGTAATTTCACTCTTTGGGCATGATTTCTCCTTTGGATCATGCTATAATCCCAACTAACCAGATATCTGTCCCCTGGGCTGGTTCTGATGTCTTTGCTCAGTCAAAGCATCTTCAGTTCCTGTCATAAGTCCCCCATCTTTGTTCCAGCATGGACATGTCTTAAGTTACAAAACCCTACCTATCTGCTAACAAACTGGAGAAAAGTGACCATTACCTGGGATGTAGCCATCTCATTTTTTGGTTCAAGAACAATTTATTCAGGTGTTAATAGCCTCAGCAACAATTCGATCCAAAATTAGGCACTCAGCTGTCTCTCCTCTTTCTGCTAAGAGTATGAGGTAAGATGACATCACAGCTAGTTACTTCAAATCTACAAAAAATTCATAAGTTTAAACAAATTTTCACACAAAGTCTTCAAACAAGTACACTACTTTTATTTCAAAGTACAGCTTTCCCTATTTTTGCATCCTAAAGGGCCTACAGGCATAGACTGTGTTGAGCCATTAGGTGAGAAACTCAGGTAATCAGTAGGATTTTCACCTCTGTGTACACAACAGAGTAAAACCTCCATTTGAAAGAACTTCTGCCTTCCCTGGAACTGGATGGTTAAATCTCCCCTAAGCCCTGCCTGACCCATCTGCATTGTGATCTTGCACAACAATCTTTCCAGGGTTAGGACATTACAGGAGGAGGCCAGAACAACTCCCTTTGCCCATTACAATTCAGATAGGGCAGGAAGCTCTGCCCAAGTCAGGGATTAATTTCATACTCTCTCTCTCTGCATATATGTATATGTATGTGTACATACATATCAGATATTGTATGTATATTTGTGTGTATGTGTGTGTGCAGGTGTGTGTACACATATATAACCAAATTACATTGTCTACCCAACTATTTTAAAACCCAGTTTCTCCCATCACATGGTGGGAGAGCAGGAAAAGTACCTGCTAAGGGACCTATCAGAAGTGAGTGCCTTAGCCAACACAGTGCAGTTTCCTCTGTACTTATTAAGGGACAAGTTGGTCTACTCAGATTTACAAGCTGATCCCAAAGAACTGAAGGAAACATTGGCTCACGCTTTCTCTCTTCAACTGGCAGTTGCAGTGGCATTTCCCAGGCTTTACCATTTCTGGAAATGCTTTTGTGCTCCTCACCTATGATGACTGAGACTTTATTTTCCAATCACGGGTCCACAAATATTTTTCTTGCAGTTTGTGAAAATGCAGGTTCCTGGGTTTCCCCACGTTTTGTCTTTGTCCTGTGGTGTCTGCCACCACCTCTCCAGCACATGCACACCTTCTCCTCAAAGCATTATTTTCTGTTTTGCCAGATTTCATGTTTCAGCAATTTTCTGCGTCACACACATTAACAAGGTTTGTGCTTTCTACAGTTGTAAGGGGTTTAGTTTTAAACTCTGCTGAGTTTGTAGTAAAAGCACAAGTAAAAAGGCTAAATTAGAAACACAGAGAACAGAGTCAAAAAGAAAGACATGCTGCTTTTCTTCCCAATCACACAAATTGCATTCCTTTCTCTTTGCTGTGATTTTCCCCACAACAGTGTGGGCAGCCAGGAAATCAGCATGTGAGGTTCCTAAAACCTTTAAGACACATACCATTATCTCCCAAGATTAAAGCCTTATTGGTTATATCTACATTGGCAATGAAGCATGGGTCCCTTGAGCAGTGAGCTCCAGGAAGCTTCAGAGTTCAAGCCCTGAAATATTGCTTTAACGTGAGCCCAAGCTCTGCTTCACCTAATTTGCAAGTGTGGGGTGTGATCAGAGCTGAGTGTAGCCACCTTCTCTGCTGACCAAGAATCGTGCTCCCCTGAGTTATACTGCAGATGCCCATATACTGCATATATGCAGTGAGACTACATCAGAGAGTAGTTTGCAAATCATTTTTGGAAGCAAGCAGAAAATTCTCCAGTTACAAGGGAACATGTTTTAACATCAACCTGGATCTGGAGATAAACACCACACAACTTCAAATGCGGACCAGAAACAGCTTACACAACACCGAGACACACCAGAGCTTTTAGACATTACAGTACTATTTTCCATGTAAATAGCACCTACATCCCTAAGTTCTACATAAATGGAGCTAGCTACAGAAATCACTTCATCATCATTCAAATGTGACCATCCACAGTCAAAATAAGTGCACAGTAAAGCTGAATCTACAGTGCTCAATATTAGTTTCTCTGTTTGCAGCATATCTTATAAATAAAATAACATTGTTTTCTCCTTCAAAATTTTAACTTTTTATAAATAATTCAAATAAATGTTCTACTATCTTCATTTTTTCTCCCACTTGCTAATCAGTTTTTAAATTTTGCATATCAGTTATTCATCCTAGAAAATATTTTAAAAAAGTATAACATATTATTATTATTTGCACAAACATTGCTACAAACAGTAAAAATGCACTGCTGATAAATCTGTCTTGGCATGCAAATCCAGCATTGGTTTCTGAGGGTGCAAACCACAGAACTGAAGAAAATATTTGGAAATCAGACACAAAATGTGGGGTTTGTTTAATTTACCTTCAGAGCCAGAAGCAGAATTCTTAGATTTCCTTTAGAGCTAACGAAGAGAAATGGACATTTTAAGACTGTGATTCATGTCACCTATTTTAGATGTTTGCTCTGAGAGGGCACACACTGGCCCTTTAGAGTCAGCCTTCACCAACTCTAAAACGGAGCTCTAAATGATGAGCAGAAGTGTAGGTGTGTACGTTCAATCAGCTGAGACTCACCTTAAAAGTATGGCTAAATTCACAGCCAAGTGATCTGACTGCCCACCCGTTAGCAGTGT